GGTTTGGTCGTGATACTCAGACCACAGTATACTTATAATACAGTAGTCCCACTTAGCGTCGGCCCCTTTGATGTTGGTGTCCACGAGTTTCAGTTTTTACAATGCTGACGTATTTGACACTGATGACATTTCTCCCTACTACAATCTCAACCAAAGCGTCTAATCACTGCTCAACGTAACAACTATTCATATAAGCTGCTCAAAAAAATACAGTCGATGAAAACCATGTTCGGTACCTGAGAAAATTGTACAAATGATAATTTTGCATTTGTGTAATATTCAAGTAACCCAGATCATTTGGACAATGATGAATAGAGTTGAAGTAAAACCATCAGACCCCTGTGCAACGTCTTCGACTTGGAAGATTCGTCGCAAGTTATTTCGCACTATGAAAAGCAGAAATTAATTTAGTTTGGTCGATTCGACCAAACTGCAGTCTGAGTAGAGCCTTGATGATGATAGCACGACCACCAGTCGAAAGCGCTCGCATATAATATATAGGAGTTATAAAGCCTCAAATCCTTTTTGTAACCAGTGATATTTCGGCAAACTTCAGGGTTGTAGGGTATTGGTACAGGATACTATGAACATTTTTCAACGCACGGATCACCCATATTATATAAGAATGCCGTCACCTATACACAGATAATTTCATATGACCATCTTGAAATTCATTGTCTTCAGTCTTCCTCAGAGCAAGACTTAAGTATAATTACACTTGAAATGTTGACAGTGGCATACGGTGATTGTAGTTACCTATTTCTCACCTTGCATTTTGAAATGTTTTTACCTTCATATACGTTCATTTATAATTTTGGAGGCATACAGAAAGTTTGTCCTAGGTCTAAGCAATAAACAGTACTAGATACTACTAGAATTACACACCCTTTGCTGTCGGTCATGAAATCTTCATTGTATAATGTATAAAAAAGTTGAAAATTGCTATCTCAGTGTTACTGGTCTAAAGAAACATGATCGTTAACTATGACCAACAGGCATAAATATAATTTATATATATTTGATTGTAGATAATTGAAAACAAAAAAAACTTTTCTCTTTTGTGTGTGTAAATGCATATATATGAACTTGACGTTCGAAGCCACAATAGATCTTGTTTTATATATTATCAATGGTAACGCCACCAAATAAAAAAAGGCTTTGAATGGTTCAGGACATTCCACGTCATTCGGCAGAGTTCTGGACATTTTCTGAATGCTCCAAACTATCTCTGAACATACCACAATATTCTAGAATGTTCTGGTATGCTCTCGAATTTCTAGAGGGTACGTCCTTGAGGTAGAAACGGGAAATTTCTTCATAGACGGGGGATAGAGGACTGGTTGCAANTTTCCTTTTTTAAAGTAGAATATCTAGGTACGTATAAATTATTTCAACTTGATATAGGCGCTGTTGCCAATATGTGAATTAGAAACAAATCCCTTTAAAAAATCAAAACCCAACATTTGAAACATCAATTTGAACACTTTTCGAAGTGAATTTGAAAAACTCGTGAATTAAACTCAACTTTATTTTGTTCAAACTTGCATTTGCTGTAATAACCCAAATTGAGGAACATTCCCCATTCTGATAGCTGATTTTTTTTGTTATATTGTCTTGATCTATAATCATGCCATTCAACTTTCAAACATTTATAGTGTAAAATTAAAATTTTTGCAACAAAATCATCAAACCAAATTGTTACTTTCAAAACACAATTTTAGATGTTTTTGAAAAAAAAAATCTAAGAACTATCTGCATTTCATTTTGAAATCCCAAAGTAATAATTCGATCACTCTATACCTTTAAAATATCAAAAGGAACAAAAAGTGGGGGTCGCCCCAAAGTTATCTCTCATTTACTAATATAACAAAGTGGGGAGTGGCTAAAGTGACGTGTCACCTACTTTCGGAGACGAAAGCAATATTTGGCCTTTATTTAAAAGAAAAATTCCGAACAAACATTCTCATAAAACCAGATTACATTACCAGGCTTTATCCAAATTAATAGTTGCTTTCGGTGATTCAGCCGAAAGAGACCATAAAGACCCGTCATTGAAGAAAACCAGCTTAAACCCTGCACAGTACTGTACACGCACATTCACGCACTTCTCCTCTCAATTAGGTTACCTTGTTGTTCTCTAATGACTGGACTCGTAAACTGCACAAGGACAGTTAGGTTGTCGTCTCCTCCGCCGATGACGAGACCCGCTTCACCAGCGTTAATGGTAACACTGTAGGGACGATCTGGGGCGACCGTTTTTAAAGCGGGTGGCAGCAGCTCGACGACCTTCTTCAGGAGGGTGAGAGTCGGCTTGTCGGCGCACAACACCACCAGTTCTACGTTCGAGTCACCTTGTAGAATAAGACCCTTGGCAAGGTGGCCCACTCTCATAACGCCTTTCAGGATTCTGTTTGTGTCGCGATCTTGTTGGAAAGAAAACCTAGAAAAGGCAAGTTTGAATTTGAAATAGCTATTTATACCAGTGAGAGTGGTTTCTAATGAGTTAAGTTTTTGATACCGCAAAAACGGTCTATCATATGCTAATTGAATCTCAGCTGTGATATAGAATACCTTTTTGGGGAGCAGTTAATCCAATCCTCTCTTCTGCATTGATATTACAGAAAAGAGGTGTAAGGTATCTGTATAAAGTGAAACCTGGAGAGTCTTGCACAAAATGTTTTCACTACTGTAAAATCTTAATAGCCATTACCCTGTTTATTTAGCCTTCAGATGGATTGGCTTGTATAGAAACATAAATTAAAGTTCAACTTTTTTTCCACTGCCTATACTACTCGCATTTCAGTACTGAGAAAATAAAGCTGAAGAAAATACTCATCATGCAAAAACGAGGAAAACTATAAAAGAAGAATCCCAATTTGTGAATTTTGAAAATTTAAAAATGTTCATGCTAATTACATAACAAAAATCTCAAAAACACTGCTGATGTGATAGATTTATTTGTCATTAAAGCTTTATACAAAGGTAATACAAAACTTGGACTAAAGTGGAAAAATATATTATTAAAAAATAAAAATGTACACGACATAAAACAGAGAAACTGATTCGCAATCTCAAATGATCATCATGTATATACACATGATATGAAATTTAAAATATATTTACTTTCAAAATTGGTATTTTTTATAAATTCTCTTACAGCATAAAAAGCATTTGCAATTAGGTAGTCATTCATTTATTCAATTATATCTAATAAGGGATGTCACTTTTAACGAAAGAATTATTGATAGAAGCTCATCTAGTTCTAAAATTGTATTAAAT